TCTTCATTCCAGACATTATATTGTTGGCGCTTCTGCCAGATTTATTTTTTTATTGTATCCGCAGCGTTATATGAGACCATTAATATGTACTGTAAATTGTATACATAATTATAATATTAATCAAACTTCTGTTATAGACGTGTACAATATGACACGATATTCTACATCGCTGACGACGATTGTATGCCCCCAACAATTATTCAAAGTCTTTAAATTACAAGCCCACTACCATTCTATAATAGAACGAATTTGTCGATATAATTACTAATAGACAATAATGTAGCCACGTGTTCTTACTAATAACTTAAGAAGATGCTAGAGCTTTGAGAAGATAAATTATTCACATTTAATATTTGCCAATTTAAAAGTTTTTATCCTGTGAAGCAATGATTGAATTTGCAAGCTTTCTCCTTTCGACAATTTAAATGTTTAAATAGCCATTTGCTAATATGTTGTTTGATATAGACACCGTTTTATAAAAAACACATCGCCGTTTCATGCAACTTGAATATAACATGGAGATTCTTATATCGTGAAGGAAAGTCGGGTATGTAGTGTAAGTGTAAGTACTGTGCATACCTCATGCGAGATAGTTCTGTGTTATTATTAAAATTTTAATTCAAATGAAATAGACGGTTTTGAATCATGTATACAAAGCTATTATACGCTACAAAGAAACCCCTTCCCTCAAACCGGATACTGGGTATGCGATAAAAAGATGTATCGAACATCGGTAACAGTATCCATGATAACGAGGTAATGAAATTGGTATTACAAATATATTACGGTGAAACGTGCAATGGTTACAACAAAACCGCATTTATAAATACAAAAAGAAACATTGACTGCGTAAAAACTCTTTTGTTCAAACAATATCGTTAGTTTCGAGGGTTCATAATATGTACAATCCGGCAATTGACGACCTGATTAGATCATCTTATTATGGACTTGAATGGATATATTGCGCAGGCATTACCGACATAAAGCCAACTCAAACTAAAAATGTCTACTATGCCAAAGTCCCCGACACTTACTTTAGTAGAATAACACTAGTATTCCTTGGAGACAGCTCAGAGTGTACGCCAACACTTGTAAGTGAGTTTGCCAGAATATACTCATTGTCAACGCGCATACGCAACGAGAATTTTAGTCAGTTCAGAAGATACTCCGAATGGCTTAGTCGGCGCAACGGACGCATAAGAGGATTTACCGAGTATGACGATAAATATTACATGGTTGCTGATAGAAAATTTTACCATAGTTATTCTCGATATGGCTTTTGCCCGGCATGTGGAATACTCCGGTGCAGTCCCGTGTGGTGCATTTGCGGTCATAAAGAATTATCCGATGGATGGACTAGCAACAATAAGCAGCTCGATGAGTTTATTAAGAAATCTCAATTACAAACAAGCTCACCAAATTATGCCTATTTGGAATGGATTCCATTCAATTGTATTTGGAGTGAGGATGATAGCTTCTCCTTGCATGGTCTACCTACTTGTTCATACGTAGAATTAATTCCGCTTGAAATAACCGATGATGATTCATATTATGCCGAGGTAAACTATTTACTTATGCGTCAGTTTGTTGACTAGTTTAAATGATTATTGATATTGACATGTTATTATTCCCACCAGCTATGTGATAAGCACCCGGATATTCTTGATACGGATGTTTGGGCTACTGTCGGATTCACATACCGGGAAAAGAAGTATCACCTAATAAAAGAAGAGAATGAGTTTGGATTATGTCTGGCGTGTACACAGCAATTAGAACACCCGATAAATGCATTCTGTTATCTGTGTAAAACACCAGCACCTCCCGATTGGACTACGGGTAACAAGTCTTTGGATTCGGCCATTATGGAGTCATGGGGAAAGGTGAAAGACGTTTCCGATGCGTATATACAATGGATAGAGTATTCTCTGTTAATAAACATGCGACAGATGACATTCTTACCCCATGGATGCACACATATTGCGGAATGGTTAGATCCAGTAATAGATGAATGGATAACAGTGTCACTTAAGCGGATAACTGATAACCGGTCACTTGATGTTTATCAGGTAATTTATTTTACGTGTAAAAATAATGGAAACGGTATTATATGCATTATATTGATTGTTGTAATTGATTGTAACGTTTACTCAAACAGCTAATTAAGGAATACCCAAAGATATTAACTCCTGATAATGTTTGGATAATTGGAATCACTCAAAAGCCATCTACTCAAAAATATTATTTGGTTTTCTACCATGAAATACGTGCAGTATTGGATAAATTCATACGGATTAACGAAAATGTTGAGTACATGTGGTATGATAACTTTTATGAACTCAAAGAAATTGGATTTGGTGACTATAAAACAGTCTATACTGCCAAATATAAAAATTATTTCGAAGTAAAGAATATGGAAGAAACAGTTGTACTCAAAAAATTTAAAAATTCTGATCAAGCGCCGGAATTATTTATCTCAGAGGTAAGCAATAACAATAAATAAATTAATATAATAATAAATATGATTATGATAATTAAAGTAATACTTATATTAATTTGATGCCGTATTTATTTATTTTCTAGTTAAGAAATCATGCCAAGTGCATAAAACAATATAATCGTATCCTTTTAATTTATGGAGCCACACAAGATCCAAAAACCAAAGAGTACATGATTGTTATGGAATATGCTAACAATGGTAATCTCTTGTCTTATTTGGGACAATATGTTTACAAAATGACATGGGCGGAGAAACTAGAGCATTTGTTGAGTATTGCATGGTATCTGGATGCTATTCATGATGCGGGTTTAGTGCATTGTGATCTTCACGGCGGAAATATTGTTTTGCGTGATCATACACCAAAAATATGTGATCTTGCTCTTTCTCAATCAGTGTATTCATGTAAACCGAGTTCAACCATACGAGGCATTTTACCCTTTATTGCACCAGAAGTTTTTCATACTTGCAAATTTACAAAAAAATCCGACATATATTCTTTCGGCATTATTATATATTTAATGGCCACTGGTGAACTGCCTTTCAGAGATAGAGAATTTGATAGAGTTTTAGTATGTGATATTATGGGTGGGCTACGACCAACGATGCCTGATTCAGCACCAGAAGAATACAAAAAACTTGCTGAGCTTTGTTGTGATGCTGATCCTGATAAGCGCCCTGATGTAGAGACACTTGGGCGTATTATTTACGCTCTTCGTCAAGAGGTGAAAAACGACGAGTCTGATGACAACGCATGGAATACCATCTATTGTGGTAATGCAATATTTTCATCCGAAAAGGAGAACAAGTACTCTAGTAGACTCTTACCCACAGGAAATTTACCTAAACCGCGGAATAATGATGATTATTTTGACCTAATCAGCTTGTATGAAGACAATGATAAATGATGAAGTCAATTCACAATATTAAATATTTTTTTTACTGTTTATTTGTTTAGTAGCCCAACACTCTGTGAATAGTTTCTCTGATTAAATATTTAACCAAATTAACAAAGACTAGATCCGGGTAGTAGTAGCCTGCAAGCAAAGAAAGAAAGTATTGATAGTGTTTGTGAAGTACATTTAGTTTAACAGCCACTTTATATTTTAGCATAAAAGTGGGATCATGTTGTAAGACATCCAATTCTGCAGTGCAAGACGATTTCCATTGCGATATGACTGCGTCTAAAGTATTGTTGCAGTTTACACGTTAAATTGGTCCCGATTTATACACTATATTGCAATGTCTGCAACGATGATACATGTATATTAATATAGCAACAACTTTTATAATCAAAGAAAGAATAATACTCGATTTGTGTGAATAATGTTCTATCGTTTGCTGTTTATTTTTGCTAATAAAAGAGTTCATCATGTGAAACAGCCATAAGTCTTTACTCATTGGTATCTCTCAGTTACATAAAGCGGTTATTCACATACTAATATTGTTCTCGTATTTGTTATTATGAAGTAAACGATGAATTCAGTTAATGCGGAATTCGCTCATATAAATAACTTAATTGTGTCAAAATTCGATACGCTTTTCGGTCTTATGTTATGAATGTTTTCGGTATATAAACTGTTAGAGTAAGCCTACTAATACAATATGTGACGTGCATATATACAAATATTATGCTTTTCATTAAAATGGTCTTTGTCTCCGTTCTGGACTGAGTGACTTGGTCCTTAGCTGAGACATGTTCCAAACTCAGACACAACAGCTTCATGCGCATACACAGACATTGGCTTGATATGCTGAAATTGAAGAAATTGGCGCAAGATATATAAAGTAATAACACATATATTCCGAAAGACGCGTATAACTTTAGAGTGAGACACACAAATATACTTTTAAGGCTAAGACGATCGGATTCAAATATCGCAAGTGATAAGACATTTACCATTTCCCGAGTGGCTGTTTTTTAGACTTGCAAGGGTATGTTAGACCAACAAAGTCCCGATCCATATAAAGAGTAGCAAAATACACGTTTAAATTCTAGGCGAAATAAACACTTATGCCTCCAAGTAGTCAGCGTCGATAATTTAAGTTTTCTTTGATGAATGTTATTTTTCTTATTCGATCCGTTTATATTTAAACAAAGATTAACCTTATATGTCAAATATTTTAATAGATAAAATTAGCGAATGCGCCAGAGTGAGAACTGATAAGGGTGACAAAGATTTTCAAAAATAAAATGTATTTTAGGAATGAATATTATTGGCAAATAAAGCCCACGCTTTGGCTCAACTATAGTTCTTTGGCTCATGCTGACATCAATTATCGACCCAATGGTATAAATAGATGCATCCGAAGTATTTTTAGATCAATTGACCAAGACTCTACAATAGACAGAAAGCCGATGATTCGTATAGATATATAGAAGCCCCTTCGCTCACAGCGAGGAATCTGTAGTGATTAGTTGGCTGACCTTTCTTTGATCTAATACTACACGCCCATCAAGCTCAGACCGTTCTGAATAGCGTAAAAACTGTCCACGATTCAAATCATGAAGACCAACACCGGCACACCAGTTGCAGTCGCGATGCTGTTACTTCTTGCGACTTTTGTCTCAGCGCAAGGTCATTGGGAAGTGGTTGGATTGTAAGTATTTACAACATTCTCAGTCTACTTGGGAAACATTTAATCCGTAAACGGCTGTTTCTATTATTACGTATAGAACAGGCGTTGCCGCGATGCACGCCGTTTTAGTGGCTCCTAATCGAGTATTGATTATTGATAAAGGTAAATTAATATTTCCCTCGTGTTACGTAAATTTTACGTAGATCACTCATCAACTAAATTCTAACAACTTCTTTTTTAGCTGAACCAAATCCAAACGCGACCTTGCCAGACGGTACAACAGGCTGGTCATGCGAATATCATCTGGACACCAACACGTATCGCGTTTTGCCATTAAAGACCAATACATTTTGTTCTGCAGGAGCTTTTCTCGGGAACGGCACGCTCCTTAGCACTGCCGGTAGCGGTGCAATTAAACAGGATAATATAAATGCTCAAAGCGGGTTTGCTGCAATCAGGCTTTTTCAACCATGTCAGGACGACAATTGTTGGTGGACAGAATTACCGGCACGATTAAGTGGATTTAGGTGGTACAATACTATGGTTACGTGAGTAATGAAATCTAAAGAAAAAAAGGGGAAAAGGGGAAAAGGGGAAAAGACAAGATCCATAGTCACGATACCCTAAACTGTAATTATTTATTCGTCTAGTCTTCCGGACGGAAGAGTCCTTAATCTTGGAGGATCAAAGGTACAAACAGGAGCAAATAGCGTATCAACGAATAACCCAACATACGAGATCTATTCTTCTACCGGAACAAGTGATGCATTTCCGATTCAGTTCTTGATCGACACGTGAGTCATCTAAAACGCGCGGTCAATGAAAAATGGCTATTAAAAACTTTTTTTCTTACACTGCTCGCTTCCGTGCCCGTTGTCTTTTGATGCAATCAGGCTTCCATACAACCTCTACCCCTGCGTGCATGTCATCTCTGATGGTTACTACCAAGGCTATCTCTTCATCTTTGCAAACAGACAATCAGTCATCTATGACATCAAGCAAAACAGAGTCGTCAAAGCTCTTCCCGATATCCCCGGCGTTCCGCGGTCCTATCCTCTAACCGGATCCTGCGCTTATCTTCCAATGACTTTTGAAAACAAGTACAATCCCCAAGTGATCATCTGTGGAGGACAGGCCGTGCAGTCGTATACCAGTCCGGCAGATAACACGTGTGGAAGAATAAATTTGGGTGATCGGGAACCGGCTTGGGAAATGGATGATTTCGGTGGTCAAGCAAGAGTAATGGGCGATTCGGTTGCGTTGCCGGATGGAACGATGGTATTTGTTAATGGAGCAGCTGTCGGAACAGCCGGTTATTGTAAGTGGTACGGGAGAGAGGAAAGAGAGACGAGAGGGTGAAAGTGAGAAAAGGACTTGGCGGATTAGTCTAAAAGAATTGTTTCTTTTCTATACAAAATATTAGAAAATATTTGCTAACCATGGTCTTTTATTCCAGACGAGGACGGTCACTACCTTGCATCTGATCCAGTATTGTTTCCGGTAGCCTATGATATGAATGCACCTAAAGGTCAACGCTGGACGCGTTACGCAGCAACTACCATTCCAAGAATGTATCATTCGGTGGCCACGTTGATTCCTGATGGGACTATATGGGTTGCCGGAAGTAACCCTAATCCCGAACCTCGTCAAGATGTTAAATTTATTACAGAGTATGTATTTGATAGTATGACTTCGTGTACACGTATATACATTTAACTTTTATTTGATTCTGAAAAATTTGCAGATACCGTGCAGAGGTGTTCACGCCCCCCTATATAAATCCGTCAAAGCCACGGATTACCATAACCTCTTTCGACAGTTCGGCTATTAACGAGGGACCAATCAGCGTCAAATACGGTGCCGAATATCAGGTTACGTTTACTATTGCCAGTGGTGCCAAACCAGGTACTATTACTTCATCGTTGATCAACACTGGGTTCAAGACTCACTCGCAATCAATGTCGATGAGATGCGTTAAATTATTGGTGGGCAAAGTGACTGCAAACTCTGATGGCAGTTATATGGCAACTGTGCAGACACCACCAAACGCGTTTATCATTCCTCCCGGACCGCAGTATGTGTTTCTCTTGAATGATGGTCAGCCGGCAAAAACGGCAGTTCAGGTGTCGATCGGAGCTTGATTGAGAGACAAAAAGAACATAATCAGATGACACACCACCCTGGTTGGCGTAATCGAAATGTTCAGTGACTTTTTATATTGGTGATCATTTTTCACTCAATGATAAGTTGTCTTCACAAGATGGACAAGCTGT